CCTCCTCAACAACAACAGCAGCAGCAGCACCGCCCTACCATGTACGAACGCCACTCCTCCCACGAACCAACCCCTTCCCGCGCCCGCACTCCCACCTTCCCCCACCACCAACACCGACCGCAGCAACAACAACAACTTCCACAGCCCCTACCACGCCTACGGCTACGGCTATTCCTCCAGCAGTCTCCACCACGACTACAACGACGCCGACGACGGCGTCCAGATGACGTTTGACACGAGCTTTGATGACGACGACCACGGTGATCACAGGCCGAAAGTGTCGTCGCCGTCGTCGACGACGGCGGCTTCGGTTGGGGGGTTGTCGGGGTTTAGTGGTGGTGTCAGTGGGGGTGGGGGTGGTGTTGCGAGGCCGGAGATGAGGTCGGCGCAGACGGTGCCGAATATCACGTTGGCGGATCCGTGGGCGGATGAGGATGAGGAGTTTGGGAGGGGGGAGAAGGAGATTAAGATGACGTTTGCTTGATTTGGGTTTGTGAGGTTGATTGGGTGGGGTGGGGTGGGATGGGATGAGATGGGGTGGTTCTTTGAGGATTGGGGGGTATGATGATGGGATAATGAATGCGGGATGATGCTTGCTGTGTTATGTGGTGATGATGGCGGTGATGGGTGGGGTGGGTAGTTGGTGCTGGCTGAGGGGTGGTCGGTAATGCTTGATGATGGATGGAGGTTATTTACTGGTTACTTAGCAGATGGATGGTTAGGGGGCTGCGTCACTGGCGCATAGGCCCCTGAAGCAGGGTTATATGAGCGATTTTTTTCGGTCATTCATGGTCATGGTTGCTGTTCTGTGCCCGTCTTGAATCTCCATTGCTCTCATACCCTCATACCCTCATCCATCCGTACTCCAACCATCCACAGCTATTTGGTAGACCCGACACCTATGCACACAACACCCCCCAACTCCAGTCGCTAGCTCAATGCCTAATCTCAAACTCGACCTCGCCGTCCACCACCTCCTTGTCCTCCTTGTCCAGCCGGACAACCCGTGAGTGCCGCGGCCCGTTGTTGAGGTGGTTCAGGAACTCCGTGATGGCGTCTTCCTCGCCTTGGGCTTCACCCTCGACCTGGGGTTTTCATAAGGTGTGAGATGCTTCTTTCTTTAACTGCTTGTAATCTATTTGTTTGGTAAGTATGGGCGTTGTGTACCTTGTTGTTGTCGGTGTTACGCACCCAACCGGTGAGATCCTGCTCGATGGCTCGGTGGTAGGTGAACTGGCTGGCGAGGGTTAGCGGATGGTAGGAAAGGGGAGAAGTTAAGTGGAAAGCTTTGATGATCCAAGCAACGTGTTGGCTTGATTATGGGTATGGTTTAACAACGGAAGTACGCACCGGAAACCAACCCCTGAGTTCATGTCGAGTTAGCTTGTGTCCACAAGGGGCTCAAGAAGTATCTCATATCCAGGTTCAGTCAATGATATGAGAAGAATATAAATAAACAGCACTCGCCTTGTACCATGCCCCCATGGGCAAGGAAGTAAACCTGATATTGAGAAAGAAAACAAGTGTCAGTGAGGTTGTTTGTCACTCCTCGGTAACTAGTCGTACCCTCTTCACCATCGTGGCCACCTTGAATAAGTTTCAAAGAGGATGCTTGAGACGAGATAGCCGAGGGCGAGTAATGAGGACTAGTCAGTGTGCGATGACAATGGACTGTGCGCCCCGATACACTTCGAGTACCATGTGGGTAAGTTCTCGATGATGTCAAAGGCACTACTTAGGTAGAGTTAAGGGAAGCTCCGATAAGATAGGAATCACGGGGTTTGCCAGCCAAGAGAGGGGTAACAAACACGGCTCATGGAGATATCGAGTGATGAAACCGTAACGAGAGGTACTTTCTTAAAATTGACTGATGTTTCTATCGGTCGGTTTCATAATTCTAAATATAGGTAACTCTGTCTGTTACACGATGCACAGAGAGCCAAATCGAGCATACACCACATGTATTCAAGTATCAAGGTACAACCAACAGAACTCGAGCCAGTCTAAGTGCCATTCCGGATGCCAGATCACCGTCTTCAACATGTACCTAACATAGGTAATTAACATGCCTTCGCCAAAACAAGAACAAAAACAAAAAAATGCTCTAACCCACCACCATGCTAAACCCACCCCCCTCCTCATGCCCCAACAGACCGACATACAGACAGACTACTTGGTACTATCAAAGCTGTACTGCAGCCATCCACCGAGAGCACGCAGACTCTCCCAGCGGACATTCTCGTCCTGCTCGGCCATGAGCGCCATGACGCGGGTCTTAAGGCCGAGGCGCTCGAGCTGCCCGCGCTTCTCGGGGACCTCGCGGACGAGGCAGCCGACGTCGTTGCAGGCGATGGCGAGCACGGCCTGGTCGTGGTCCCAGGGCTTCTGCATGATGTCGGCGAGGCGGCGCACCAGCGCGCCGTTCTCGAACTCGAGGATCTTGCGCGCGTTCTCCGCCCAGAACACCGTGTTGCGGTGCGGCGGCGACCACCGCAGGTGGCCCGAGTTGAGCTCCCCGACGTACTCGTCGAAGGTAGTTTTGGTTTTGGTGTACTCGTCCAGCAGCTCGCGCAGTTTGTCCATGTCCTCCCGCAGGTCGGGGTCGGCGAACTGGCGCGTCTTGAGGTTCTGGAGGAGGGCGGGCAGCCGGGCGAGGACGGCGGGTATTGGCGCGTGCACCCCCCCAGCACTTGTGGTTCAGAAGGTTGCCCATTTTGCAGTAGCGATTTTTACGCTACAAAACATGCAAATGCCCATTGACCCCTTGCCACTCCGGTTGAGACCCATAAAGCACAAAGAAACCCATGGCTGCATGTCCATCACTCCTCAACCACGTTGCCCTTCTCCGAGACGTAGATGCCGTCCAAGAACTGTGTCGCGTGTTAGCCTCGTTATCCTCGCCCCGTGGTGTGGGAGATGCCGGGTGTCGGTGCCCCGCGATTTTTGTGTATTGGACGAACCTTCCGGATATCTTGTTTCCGCACTCTGCAAATCTGCTGGATGTCCGCAGCGCTTTTGCGAGACGGCCTCGAGCGAGTTACCGTGGAGGACCAGCTCATGCTTTCTGCGCTTTCGAGACCTCCACTTCGACACCGGGCTGCAT